AAATATTGAAGGACTCTATGTGCTGGACTGCAAAGTTGGTTTGAACTTCAAGGTCAGCAGTTCAAGCTCACCAGTTACTCCTTAGAAAACTTATACAGGGTTGTTATGGGTCAGAACAGATTTGATGACACTTAACAACAACAACACAACATGGACAAATATTGAATGATGCAGAAAGCATCAAAAGAAGATGGAAGGAATATACAAAAAGAAATGGTTGATGTGCAACCATTTTAAGAGGTAGTATATGATCAATTACTGATGCTACTGCAGGAAGAAGTCCAAGTTGCACTGAAGGCATTCGTGAAAACAAGACTTCAGGGATTGAAGGAATGCAAATTTGAAATCTTTCAACAAACTGATATACTTCTGGAGGCACTCACTCATCTATACCAAGAAATTTGGAAGACGGCTTCCTGGCCAAGGAAGAGATACATATTTGTGCCCAGTCCAAAGAGAGGAGACCCAATTGAATGTGGGAATCATCTAACAATATCATTAATATTGTTGCTGTTGTTAAGTGCTATTGAGTTGGTTTGACTCATAGCAACCCTATATAGGGTTTCTGAGGAGCAGCTGGTGAACTTGAACCACCGACCCTGCAGTGTTTATCCTACAGTGCCACACCAGGACTTCATCATTAATATTACATGCAAGTAAAATATTGCTGGAGATAATTTAAAAAATGATTGCAACAATATGTCAGCAGGGAATTGCCACAGGTTAAAACTGGATTTAGAAGCAGATGTGGAACGAGGGATATCATTGCTGACATCAGATGGATCTTGGCTGAAAACAGAGAATAGATATTTACTTGTGCTTCAGACTATGCAAATGTATTCTGCTGTGTGTATCATGACAAAATATGGATAACACTGTGAAGAATGAGTATTCCAGAACACTTACTGTGCTCATGAGGATACTCCCCATACACCAAGAGTCAGTAATTAGAATAGAACAAAGGAATACTGAATGGTTTCAAATAAGAAACGGTGTGTGCCAGGGTTATATCATTTTACCATGCTTATTCAAAATGTATGCTAAGCAAATAATTTGAGAAACTGGATAATACAAAGAAGAACTTGGCATCAGAATTGGAGGAAGACTCGTTAACAACCTGCAGTATGCAGATGATACAACTTTGCTTACTGGTAGTGACTAGGATCTAAAATACTAATGAAGATAAAAGACTACAGCTTACAGTATGGATGGCACCTCAATGTAAAGAAAACAAAAATCCTCGCAACTGGACCAATACATAACATCTTGATTGTGGTTGTGGTGGTGTGCTGTAGAGTCAGTTCCATCTCATAGTGACCCTGCAAAGGGTTTCCGAGGCTGTAAATATTTACAGGAGCAGAAAGCCTCATCTTTGTCTCATGGAATGGCTAGTAGTTTAGAACTGCTGACCTTGTGGTTAGTAGCCTGACTTGTAACCACTATGCTACCAGAATTCCTTATAAAATCATAATAAGTGAAGAAAATATTGAAATGATCATAGACTTTTCTTTGCTTGGGTCCACAGTCAACACTCATAGAAGCAACAGTCAAGAAATCAAACAGTGTACTGCATTAGGTAAATCTGTTGCACAAGACCTGTTTAAAGTGTTAAAGAGCAAAGATGTCAATCTGATGACTAAGGTGTGTCTGGCCCAAGCTATGGTATTTTCAATAACTTCATTTACATGTGAAAGTTGAACAGTGAATAAGGAAAAGCACAGAGTAGGCAGAAAGGCTGTTAGGACTCTGCAGCAAGGATCTGGAAAAGCAGAAGGGATAGATAAGAGGTGATTGATGAGCGGTGTCAGCTGAAGGAAACCTGCTGCAGCCATCTTGAAAGTTTGTGAACAACTTTAGGGATTAGAACACATATACATGTTGCACAAACCTAGCTGTGGCTTGCAGAGACAAAGGTATGATTTTATTTAAAAAAATTTTTTCCCCTTTTATTCCAACAAGGGTACAACTCCAGGGAATCTCCTGCTTTCCAGGTGGTCAGAGCCTCTCTGAGGTTGTGAGACCCAGGGAGGAGCTATGTACAAAAATCCCACTAGGAAGACTCTGATTCAAATCGTCCACCCTGGCAGCCCTGGAATGGCTCTCACTAGAAGAGGGGGTTTGAACAGATGCATGGGGGAGAGGATAAAGGGAAAAAACAAGGAAGGAAAGGAGGCAGGCGATCTGTGTGGGCCCTCTGGACTCAGCGTAGCCATTTTGAACGTTCTCAGGCAGCTGTGCAGGCAAGAAGCCAGTAGACAACAGAGTGCACTGCTTATTGGCAGAGAGAAAGTCTTTGACTTTAATTTTTTACAGTGTGGGCTGTTTTTTGTTTTTTCTCTTCTTGTACCACACAAGAGAAAGCAACTACACACATATAGTCAAGCCATAGTTGTAGCCTCTATAGCCTCACAAATTGGGTAAGAGCCAATACCAACTCTATACACCAGAACAGCAACAACAGCCAACATCTGCTAAATCCACTCTGAATTGAACAGTATGAACAGTGAACAGAGAAGTTCCTCTCCTGCTCACACCCAATTGGTAAGTGCCTAAAAGGAGGTAATTGGTAAATGCCTAAAAATACACCAACATACTTTCATAAACTTAATACAAATACAACAATACCACAATGTGATAGAAAGCAGCAGAAAGTTTCTGTTCATATGAAGAAACACGACAGACAAGAGGCACTGAAACTACCAGAAAAAGAATTCAGGAAAACAATGTTGAGGTACATCCAAATGTTTCACGGAAAGATTGAGGAAAATGAGGAAAAATTTAGAAAAGCACTATAGGAACAATCAAACAGATGCAGCATTGGAGATAATACAAAACCTGCAAACAGAAGTCCAGAAGCTTAACATTAACATATCAGAAATGGACAATTTGCTAAAAGAGCAAAGGAGGAGAATTAAATCAATGGAAGCCAGAATTAGTGACAAAGAAAAGCACAGAAAAGATAGTTGAAGAGCTGCTGAATGATAATGTCCCTAACATGAAAGATGAGATGATAAGTATTTAAGAAGCTGAACAAACCCCAAACAGGATAGACCCCAAAAGAAAATCACCAAGACTTATCATAATCAAACTTTTCAAAAGCAAAGACAAGGAAAGAATCCTGAAAGCAGCTCAAGAAAAGTCAAATGTTACCTACAAAGGAAAACCAGTAAGATTTAAGTTCTGACTTTTCAGCAGAGACCATGCAAGTGAGAAGGCAATGGGGAGACATATACAAAACGCTGAAAGGAAGAGCACAGAAGAATTTATGCATTTGAATTATGGTATTGGAAAAGAATGTTAAAAGTATCATGGACTGCCAGAAGAACAAATAAATCTGCCTTGAAAAAAGTACAACCAGAATGCTCCTTAGATGCCAAGACTTCATCTCTCATACTATAGACATGCTATATCAGGAGGGATCAGTCCCTGGAGAAGGACATCATTCTTGGTACAGTAGGAGGTCAGTGAAAAAGAGAAAGGCCCCTAACAAGATGGATTGACACAGTGGCAGGAGCAATGGGCTCAAATATAACAGCAGTTGTGAGAATGGCATAGGACTGAGCAGAGTTTCATTCCATTGTGTACAGGGTCACTATGAGTCAGAACCAATTCAACAGCATCCTACCACCCACAACAACCACGCCCTGGGGCTACCCATCGTGCCCCAGGTGTGCCCCTTGGTAGCCCTCAGAATCAGCTGGGCCCAATTCATGAGGTTGCTGGGCTGGAGGCTGGGAGCAGAGATGTCATGAGTTTCCTGTCCCCACTTCCATCTTTCCAGGCTCTCCCTTAACCCTGCTGAGTCAGTATTTAGAACCAGGGAGGATTGCAAAGTTGGCAACAGGTATTTTTGGCACTCTCCCCCTTCTGTCTCACACTTGTGACACCTCTTAGGATTGCCCCCACCCCTTTACCTACCCAGGGACTCTGTATGCCTTTCACAGAGGACCTGCCTTCTCAAGTAAGTAGAAGTAGGTGTTTAACTCATGTATGTGGAATATGTGCTGTACAGGATCCTCATGTTGCCTGTCACACCTAGCCTGGCCCTGCTACCTCCCTGACCTGCCTCAGAATTCCCAAGAACCATGCTCCTATCTCATCCATGGGGAATCTCTGAGGGCCTGAGAACTCTAAACTGCTCAGGGACACATGTCCTAAGTCCCAGGCCCTGAGAAATGGGTGCTGCCAAGCTGCCAAGGACCAAGCATGCAATAAAAGGCTCTGGGGTGGCTTCTGGGATGCTGAAGAGGTGTTTTGTCTGGAAGCTACTTCAAGCTACTCCTTGAATGAGGTTTAGCAGGGAGATGGCAAAGATCACTTGTGTTCGGTGCCCACAGGAGGCAGGACTGACCCTAGAGGTCTGAGGAAGATGCTGGGGCAGGAAATGAGGACCTTCCAAGGATGTATTGGGGCCCATATCTCATGGGCAGTGGGAGCTATAGAATGCTTTGGAGCAGGGAAGTGACTCTTACAGGCAGCACTTTGTTAAGTTCCCTCAGCCCTGTTATGTGCTGCAGCCTGGAAAGCTGGTGGCTGGGACACAAGTCTTAAGTAAGAAATGCTCATTCTTGCTAGGTACCTCTCTGGGTTCCAGTACCTGTTAGCTTGGTGGTGGTTGGGGGTGGGAGGACAGCTGATAATGAAGGGACAACTATTAATCTGCCCAAAGACAAGTTCCCTGAAAGCAGAAGTTGGGTTGCCCACTGTGGGGTGGGGCTGAGTGAACACTGGAGGCTTTCTGGGGCATGTCACTTAGTGAAACATTCTTGGGCAAACCCCGAACTGTGAACTAGGCTCCTGGCTCCCTGTTAGCAGATGCCCCAGAAGTTCCTGGGAGCCCACCCCTCTCTTTAGGGGTGGTCATTACAGCACTTGAGTACACAAGCTTGGACCCTCTGAGGGCTCTGGAGCTGATGTACCTGAGGTGTCTCTAGGAGCCTCTGTGTGCCTACTCAATGTATTCCACCATCCTAGGGCCAGAACCAACCCAAGGACCTGCTATGGGTTTCCCTTTTCAGTTTCTCCTCCTGGCCTCAATCTTCCCATCAGGTAAGTGTTGCTGGCTCATTTTTGAAGGTTCAGCCTCAGGAAGTCACACTGGCCAAGGACTGAGTTACAGATTTGGATGGTGGGGCTGTGGGAGGACACAGTGAGATAGTGGTTGGGAGCTGGGTGGGTATCCCAGTTTCCTAGGAGCTGCCCTGTGAAACTTCTGAGCAGCCCTTGAGCCATAGATTGCCCCTGAGGGTACCCAGAGAGGCTGTGCTGGGGTTATGTTGCTGGCTGAGTTTCTGGGCCCATGTGTGCACTTTATTCTGGGGCACCTCTGTGGTCCATGCAGTGACCCCAGTTATACACTGCCTTCCTCTTGCCCCTCTCCTCATGCTTTTTTAGGCCAGGCCTCATGGGGTGTCTCCAGTTCCCCGAAAGTGCAGGGTGTGAAGGGGTCCTGCCTGGTCATCCCCTGTGTCTTCAGCTTCCCGGCTGAGGTACAGGTACACAACCGAATCACAGCCATCTGGTACTATGACTACTCGGACAAGCGGCTGGTGGCAAGCCACTCAGAGGACCCCGAGCAGGTGGACACTCGTTTCCGTGGCCGCACTCATCTGTTGGGGAAGCTGGAGAACAAAATATGCGACCTGATATTAAAGGACCTGCAGCTTGAGGATGCGGGTGCCTACAACTTCCGCTTTGAAATCAGTGAGGGCAACCGCTGGTCAGATATGAAAGGCACCCAGGTCACTGTGACAGGTGAGGACAGGTGGCTTGATTTTTGCCCAGAGGGGACTTCTTGGGTGTGCCTGAACTGACTGACTCAGCCAAGTCTTTGTCCTGAACTGAAATCCAGCCCCCATCTCTGCCTTGATTTCAGCCCCTATTCTATCTCTGTCTAAGACCAGCTCTAGTCCTGTACCTGACCCAGAGTCAGCCCAGTTCCTGCCCCATCTCTATCCTAGAGTTAGCCCCAGGCCCATCTATGTCCCTGAGTCAGCCCATCCCTGCCCTACGCCCAGCCCCAGGCCTATCTTTGTCTCTAAGTCAGCCCCACCCCTGTTCTAGAGCCAGCCCCAGGCCCATCTCTGTCCCTGAGTCAGTCCATTCCTGTCCTAGGTCCAGCCCTAGCCCCAGGCTCATCTCTGTCCCTAAGTCAGTGCCACCCCCATCCCACACCATCCCCTGTCCCAAAGTTAACCCCAGTGTCTCTGCCTTAGTCCCAGCCCTGATTACCCCCTTGCAATGCACTCAAGTTGGGTTGTGGGTGGACTTCCTTTCTCCTTAAAGCCCTCTACCCAGTGCCTATCCCTCAGCTAGGTTTCCAGGGCAGAGACTATTAGGTGTGGAAAGGAAGTCCTGAGCTCTTTGTTTCTGTTCTCAGAGAAGCCCCTCATGCCCACCATTTCCTTGCCGGCTGAGCTACGTGAAGGCCTGAGTGTGGATTTAAACTGCTCCACTCCCTATGTGTGCCTGACGGAGACCATCACCCTGGAGTGGTCTGGCCAGGATCTGACTCGCTCCACCACTTCCACCATCCAGAATGTGGGGCTTACCAGCACCAGCCACCTGGGGATCCTCCACACGACACTGTCCTGGCAGGACCATGGTCGGAACCTGCACTGTCAGCTCTCAATGGCCAGTGGCAAGGCACAGGCTGATACAAACCTGCAAGTCCAGTGTGAGTAAGCTGGGAGATACACTCTTGTTATTGAGCACAGTGTGTGTCCCTCCTCACAGTAACCAGTCCCTCTCCAGCCCGTGGAAGCAGAAACCTCACCCAGAGGCAAAGCTGGGGCTCATAGGGCAGTGGGTGGACAGAGGCTGCTTTTTTTTCATTTTGTGGCTTCCTTCTAACTCCTACTTGTTCTGAAGGGGACAAATATATTTTTCTTGTCCTCGAAACCAGGCTGGGCCAGGATGACACAGAAGGCCAAGGGAATACGAGATTCTTAGTCAGCTTTGTGGGTCCCAGTTTGTGGCCTGGGATTTAGCCCAGCTCTGGAGGAGGCTGGGAAGTGAGGTTTACACTCTTCTTGCCATAGGCCACTCACATTTGTGGTGACTAGGATTTCACTCAGATATGGCAAAGAGTCAATGGGAAGAAAGCTCACCTTCTCATTTGGTTGCCCATTTTCCCACCCCAGTAAAACAGAGCAACAGGGCAACAGCCTGTTCTAGAAGTACCATTGTTCATGGATTCTGTATCAGGCTGCCTGGCCCCACTGATTTTAGAGGACCAGACCGCAGACAAATCACTTGCCCCTTAGAACCTTTGTTTTCTCATCTACATGTTGTTCTTAAGTGGCATCTAGTCAATTCCAACAGATAACGACCTTATATAGAGTTTCTGAGGCGTGACTGATGGCTTTGAACCACCAACCTTGCAGTTCAAACCAACTTTGTGGTCCAGAGTTTATTCTACAAACCCACATCAGGACTCCTCTCATAATGGAGGAAAAACCCCAGTTGCTGTTAAGTTGATTTTGGTTCATGGTGACTCCACGTGTTTCAAAGTAGAACTGTGCTTCATAGGTTGTTTTTTTTTTTAATGTTTTATTGTGAATTATGTGATAATTTGCATGGGAGAACATTAGCTTTACATTTATCCTATCATATATCGTTTCATTGCCATGGTTACAATCCCCTCCATGCATCACCAACCAACCAAAGGGTATACTCTGCAAGCCTGCCCCCAGGTCATCAGCACACAGCCCCTCTCCCTCTCTGGGTCTAGAGTCCCCAGCTGCTCCATCTCTCCACGCCATCATCTCTGGCATCACTGCTTCTCTCCGCTCTGCTCCCTTGATGGTCCCAGGGACCTCCGCTCCTAGACTACACAGTCAATCACTCCCCTCCTTTTGCTACAAAATGTCTACCTTTACATTTCCAACCCTCACAATCAGTCCTGATAACAATTATTCACTATTGTACCACAAGAGACCTATCCGCATTTCCTTTCATCAGCCTCGCCCAGACAGATTGGATACTACTCAGTGGAGATTCTACCTTCCTCTGTGTCCTCTGGATCTAGGTTCCCTTTTGAAAGTTTGTAAGCCAGTCACTTCTTGCCTTTGTAGCCCCCCAATTTTGGGTAGCCAATGTCCAAGTTGCCCATCCCTGTCTACTCTGTGTATGGAGGGGTTTATAGGGTTTTCAATGGCTGTTTTTTGAAGCAGATTACTAGGTTTTTTCTTCTGAGACACCTCTTGGTGGACTCAAAGTGCCAGTGTTTTAGTTAGCAGCTGAGAGTGTTAACTAGGGACCTAGACAGTAGAGGTAACAATAAGCAGCTTCTGCCTCATAGAATTGTTATGAAAATTTAATGGGATGACACAGTTGTTGTTGTTAAGTTTCATTGAGTCACTTCCAAGTCACTGCGATCCTGTAGACAGATGGTTTCGGAGGTGTGTCTGGTGAGTTTGAACTGCCGACTTTGGGGTTCATATGACTTTGTGGCCCAGTGCTTATCCTACGCGCCACACCAGGACACAGTAAGGTAATCAAAGTAGTGCTTGGAACATATGAAGCACTTGAAAACATCTGCTTTTATTATTATCACCTTTTACATAAACAGTTGTTGTTGTTAAGTGCTGTGGAGTTGGTTCTGACTCATAGTGACCCAGTATAGGATTTCCGAGGCTTTGAATCTTTTCTGAGAGCACAGACCCTCATCTTTCTTCTGAGGAGCAGCTGGTGGACTTGCACTGCTGACCTTGTGGTTTGCAGTCCAGTGCTCATCCTATAGAGCCACTGTGTTCCATTACACAGATTAAGCATGAAAATATTAGCTTTTATTATCATATTTACATAGAGAAAGGATTTGGAACCAAATTTAAGGAACTGTATTTTCTTCATGTTGTTGAATAGTTTGACATTGCCTTTGGTTCACTCCCAAGGAGCCCTGGTGGTATATAGTGAGTTAAGCCCAGTCAGTGGTTCAAACTCACCAGATGCTTCACAGGAGAAAATTGAGGCAGTCTGCTTCTGTGAAAATTTATAGTCTCTGAATCCCTAAAGAGTATTTCTAATCTGTCAGTATGAGTCAGAAACAACTTGATGGCAGCAAATTTGTCTTGGTTTGGTCTCCTCCCATTGACCCCTGACTAACAGCTACTTCAGGCCACTAAAGCAAGCAGGTGATATTCATAATCTTGTCTATGGAACCAGTATCAGTCAACTAAAGGAGACCTGTGTGTGTCAGAGTAAAACTATGCTCCATAGGGTTTTCAATGGTTATTTTTTTGGAAGCAGATCACCAGACATTTCTTCGGAGGTACCGCTGCCACTTGAACTACCAACCTTTCAGTTATAGCTGAGCACATTGTTTGTACCACCTAGGACTTCTGTCCATGGTACCCACCCCCAACTAGAATAGAGGGCACGCATGCCATGAACCCAAATGTCATAGAAGGCAGTTTAGGCTGGATGCTGGATCAAGCTTTAATTTACCTAGGCTTGAAGGGATCAGGAATGCCTCATAGGGGAGGTTGGGGGGGCAGGAGAAGACAGAGCCTGGCTAGACCAAAGAAACTAATGGGACTGATGTTTTATCTGGGTAGGCCACATTAGAATGGAGTTTTAAAGAAAGAGTGGTGTGAATAAGGAAAGAGGAGACATATGCCACGCCATCTTCACATGTCCCTAACCCAATGCCCTCCCTCGCCTTACCTTGCAGATGCCCCTCGAGGCGTGGAGATCCTCCTCAGCCCCTCAGGGCAAAACATCCTCCCAGGCAACCTGGTCACACTCACTTGCCTGGTGAATAGCAGCTACCCAGAGATCAAGTCTGTGCAGTGGGTCAAGGATGGGTCCCCCCTCGAAGCTAAAGATCGTGTGTTACAGTTGCCCAAGGCAACCTGGGCAGATGCTGGCATCTACACCTGCCAAGTTGAAAATGGAGTAGGTTCTGCCACGTCGACTCCTGTCAGCCTCCATGTCTTCAGTGAGTTCTGAATGAGACTGGGTCTGGGCCCCAAAGCAGGGAAGGGTTCAGGCTGCTGGGGCCGAGAGGAGCCAGGCCAGGTCAGAGCCAGAAGCTGGCAAAACTCAGGGCCTCAGGGGGCGTAGGTGTCGAGAAATGAGTTGTGCACTGTCTACACCCTCCCTAAGCAAGTGAAGGCCCCTGAGGGAACAAAGAGGACCCCGTTCTGCAGACAGAGCCATGTCTTACTGTGATACAGATGACAGTATGTCTCTGGGAGGGTGGTATGTTGGGAGGGTCCTGGGGACACAGGTACAGAGGGGGGTAATGTAGACTGTACAGATTCAAGCCCACTAGGTACCCTCCCACAGTACACCCCTGCTGTTCCCACAGTGGCTGAGGTCCAGGTGAGCCCAACTGGTCCCTTCCAAGAAAACCAGACCGTGACGCTGACCTGCAACACGCCCAGCGGGCCGCTCAGTGAGATTCGGTACAGCTGGTACAAGAACCAGCTTCTGTTGGAGGATGCGCACGCCCACACCCTCCAGCTGCACCCAGTCACTAGAGCTGACACCGGCTTCTACTTCTGCGAGGTGCAGAACGCCCAGGGCAGTGAACGCTCAAGTCCTGTTAGCGTGGTAGTCAACCGTAAGTGATCAGGGTAGCATGGTGCTGAGCACTGCCAGTGTTCAGGGAAAGACAGAGGCTGGGGTCCTGGGCACAGGAGCTACAAAGTCACTTCATCTGGACACTGTGTTGCCCAATGGCCTTGAGCTCATTTCCCAGTTCTGCACATCTGCACAAGCCTTTCGCTGTCCTGGGCCTCAGTTTCCTCCCACTTTTTTTGTTGTTGTTGGATAATTTAAATTTTGAAATAATTTCAAACTTACAAAAAGTTGCAAGAATAATACAAAGAATGATACCTTTCATCCCCATAACACATTTGTTAATATTTTGTCATATTTGCTTTCTTCTTATCTTTTAATTCTGCCTTTTCACTAACTTTTTGAAGCTCCCTCATATATGTACATACAATACACCATACTTTCTTTACTTAAACACACACATATACATAGTGTTCATTGTTGTTAACTGACATGGAGTTTCCTCTGATTCAGTGATCCCATGTATAACAGAAGGAACCCCTTAACCAGTCTTGAACATTTCATAACATGATTTTGTACATTTCATGTATGTTTGAGTTCATTCTGTGGTTACTGTGTAATGCCTTCAAATATAGGGGGCTTTCCAGCACTATATCAGATCATATTATATTGTGATCCATAAGGTTTTCATTGGCTATTTCAGAAGTAGATCACCAGATCTTTCTTCCTATCTCAGTCTGGAAACTCTACTAAAACCTGCTTACCATGGGTGACCCAGCTGGTTTTTGAAATACTGATGGTATAGATAGCATCATAGCACCATGCAAGCCACCACTGTATGGCAAATTGAGAAATGGATGGTACATATATATACATATATGTATTCTCTATTTATATATCTGTTTACCTGAACCATTTGAGAATAAATTGCAGATATGATAATCCCCTATGCCTAATTTCCTCAGCATATATTTCCTAATGTTATTCTTTTACATAGCCCAAATCAGGACATTAGACATTGTATTGTCTAATCTATAATTCATATTCAAATTTTCCCAAACTGTCTAATTATTTTTTCCTGGTCCAGGATCCCATCCAGAATCACACTTTGCATTCAGCAGTCATCTTTCTGTATTCTCCTTTACCTGTACCAGTCCCTTAGCCTTTCCTTGTCTTTCTTGGCAGTGACATTTGAAGAGTGCAGGGCAATAATTCAGCATTTGTTGGAATATATTAGGCAGAGACTATGCACTTGGCGATGCGCAGGCGAGATTCTGTGTCTACCTCAGGGCATCATATCAGTAAGCACGTGAGGCCGTTTTGTTCTGTTGTGGGTAGTGTTCACTTGGTCACCTGGTTACAATGCTCTGCTAGGCCTGCTTTGTAGTATTACCACAGCATTCAATTGGAAGAGAGTGGTTTACCCAGGGCAGGGATTGGTACTTAACAAGTGCTCAGGAACTGCTGGGGTTGCCTCTATCTCTCTGGACATTGTGGAACAAGGGGGGCTTAGTGATCATAGGTTAAAAAGGGGGATCCCATGTCTGAGGCCTGACTCTCATCTCCACACAGACCCACCCCTCATTCCGGACCTGACTGCTTTTCTCGAGACGCAGGGCAGGCTCACGGGCATCTTACACTGCTCTGTGGTCAGTGAGCCTCTGGCCACCCTGGTGCTGTCCCATGGAGACCTCATCCTGGCCTCCACCACCGGGAAAGGAGACTACAGCCCACGTTTCAGTGTCTCTTCTACTCCCAACTCCCTGCGCCTGGAGATTCGAGAGCTGGAGCCCACTGACAGTGGAGAATATATGTGCTCAGCCACCAACTCACTTGGAAAAGCATCCTCCAAGCTGGACTTCCATGCCAATGGTAAGAGGGTACTCGAGGGCTGGCTGAGGGAGACTGAGGAGGGGCCTGCACTGGCCTCTTCCTTCTAGGAGTCCAGAGGGTTCAATGGAGGGACTGAGCCAGCTGGTAAAAGTCACATCAAAGGCTTGAGCTGTACAGTCGTCCCAACCTCAGAGGTTCCTGGATGTCAAGGCAAAAAGGGAAACAAAACAGGCTGCATTATTACTTTTGTGCATTCTGAATTGGGAGAGTCCTTCATGTGCATTCCTTTATTTTTTATTGATTTAGTTTTGTGGGCAGGTTCTGTGCCAGGAATCAAATGTGGGAGGCAAAATGGTACATGTGCTGCTCTTCCCTCTTTCCAAAGCCATGGTGGACACAGCTAGTCCATCAAGGCAGGGTTTTCTTTTTAAATTGTAATAAAATATATAGTTATTGTTATCAGGTGCTATTGAGTTGATTCTGCCTCATAGCAACACCATGTACACTGGAACAAAATGCCGCCTGGACAAGTAGATGTAACATGAATTTGGCATTTAAAAACTTTAAACTGTACAATTCAGTGGCATTAATTACATTCATAATGTTATGCAACCATCACCACTATTGGTTTCTACAAAATTTTTATTCCCCCAAACAGAAATTCTGTATTCACTTCCCTCTTCCCTCAACCTGTTCAGTTCTAATCTACTCTTTGCCTATGCATTTGCCTATTCTAGATATTTCATATAAGTGAGATCCTACAAAATACGTTCTTTTATGTGTCTTCTTTCACTCAGCATAATGTTTCACAGGTTTATCCTTTTTTTTTTTTTTAGAGTTTTTATTATGAATTGAGTGATAGCTTAGTTTACATGGGAGAACATCAGTTTTACACTCATCATTTCATTGCAATGATTACAATCTCCTCTGTGCATCATCCTTCAACAGCATTTTCTTTTATTCCCTCTAGTTTTTGTTTTTTGTTTTTTTGGCTGAAGGGGATATACACAAAAACACTCAGGAATATATAATCATTTTAACAACCATAGGGCACCTCCTGGACACCGGCTCTCAGTCCCTCTCTTTCCAGGAGTCCTTAGCTTCTCCCTCTCTCCATGTCCTCATCTCTACCCCATCTCTGGTGTCGTTGCTTCTCTGGATAGGGTCCCACATTCTGTTTGAGCTCTTCCTTCATGGTCCTAGGATACTCAATTCCTGGACTGTAAGACTAACTACTCCCCTCTTTTTGTTACAAAACTTCTACACAGGTTTATCCTTGTTGCATCAGACTTCATTTCTCTGTATGGCTGAAAAATATTCCATTTTTGTTTATCTGTTCAACTGTTGATGGACACTTAGGTGGTTTCCACCTTTTGACTATTGTGAATAATACTGCAATGGTGTGTTGAGTATCTGTTTGAGTCCCTGCTTTCAATTATTTTGGGTATGTACTACTCAGGAGTGGAATTGCTGAGTCATATGGTAGTTTATATGGATTCCTGGTGTGGTGGTGTAGGATCAGCACTACACTGCAAACACAAGGTTGGCAGTTCAAACCCACCAGCTGCTCTTTGGAAACCCTATACAGGGTCGCTATAGACAGAACCGACTTGGTGGCATTTAACAACAACATGATAGTTCTAATAACAAAAGAGCCCTGGTGGCACTGTAGGATAAGCACTGGACTGCTAACCAAAAGGCTGGCATTTCAAACCCCTCAACCTATCTGCAAAAGAAATATGAGGTTTTAGTTCTCACAAAGATTTACAGTTTTGTTGTTGTTGTTGTTAGATGCCATTGAATCATTACTGACTCATAGCGACCTTATGCACAACAGAATGAAACACTGCCCGATCCTGGGCCAACCTCACTATTTTTGCCACGCTTGAGTCCATTGATGCTGCCACTTTGCCAGTCCATCTCGCTGGGGGTTTTCCTCTTTTTCTCTGACTCTCCAACTTATCAAACATGATATCCTTCTCCAGCAACTGGTCCCTCCTGACAATATGTCTGAAGTATGAGAGACAAAGTTTGGCCATCCTGGCCTGCAAGGAGCACTCTGGCTATACTTCTTCCAACACAGATCTATTGGTTCTTTTGGCAGCCCATAACACTTTCAAGATTCTCCTCCAATACCATAACTCAAAAGCATCAGTTCTTCTGTGGTCTTCCTTATTCACTTCATATGCATATGAGGTTATTGAAAATACCATGGCTTGGGTCAGGTGCACCTTAGTCCTCAAGCTGATATCTTTGTTCTTCAACACTTAAAAAAGGTCTTGTGCATTAGATTTGAGAACCCTATAAAGGGTCACTATGACTTGGAACTGACTTGATGAGAATAAATTCTCTGTTTAACTTTCTGAGGAACCACCAAACTGTTCTCCATAATAGCAGTACTATTTTACAACCCCATCAGCAATGGATTAAGCTGCTAATTTCTCCATGTTCTCAAGGCAGGTTTTTGATTTAAGCATGGGATCTGGTTCAGAATCCTCAACCATGCTGCCGTCAGATCTGAACTAGGATTCAAGACTGAGCCCTCCTGATCTACTAGAGAGACACAGAGCTGACATAGTCATGTGGGGAGAGGAGAACCTGGGGGGCTTCCTGCAGCTGGTAGCAGGGCTCCACAGACACTCACTGCCTCTCTTCCTCTCCCCGCAGCTGCCCGCCTCCTCATCAGCCCTGCCGCAGAAGTGGTGGAAGGGCAGGCAGTGACGCTGACCTGTCGCAGTGGCCTGAGCCCCATGCCTGACACCCGCTTCTTCTGGTATCGGAATGGAGTCCTGCTTCATGAAGGGCCCAGCAGCAGCCTCGTCCTCCCCGCGGCCTCCAGCACAGATGACGCTGGTTCATATCATTGTCGGGCCCAGGATGGCCACAGCTCCAGCGGCCCTTCCTCACCTGCCGTCCTCACGGTGCTCTGTGAGCAACCTGTCTACCTTTCACTGTCCACCCTGGGGAGGATCAGGCCCCTGGGGCCAAACAACCACCTCCACCTCTTCCAGGCCCTCCTGACCTTGGTCTAGACCAAGAGGGTAGCCACAGGTCTGAGCACCAAGTATTTTCCCACTTCTCTACCTAGGGCTGAAGTTTGGAGAGCAAGCTGAGTGAGGCTTCCTCTATCTCCCTACAGCTCATCCTCCAATCCCAGTCCCTTTTGGAGCTGCTTCTAGTCTCTAACCCACTGTGGGTACCATATCCAAGCTTTATCCTCTTAGAACACAAACTCCTATTAAGTGTACATGCCTCATAGGCTACATCCTCTTGCAGGCTCCCACAAGTACGAAGGCAGAACACTGCCTCCTGTCAAGGGTGGGTATTCCATGGTAGCCTATTGTTGAGGAGCACTTCAACCAGAAAGCCATCCCTGATATCTGCAGAGTGATGTCACAGACTACCAGAGTGGGATCACGTGGGGGCCCTGACTATTGGCTCTCTTTTGATCATCCATCTCTAGAAAGATGGCATGCCAAGCATTGTCTGAGTATGAGGGGAGCTAGCTTGGAGATCAGAGATGAGGGGCAGGAAAGGTCTTAGAGGAATGTTCCATGGTAGGGGTGGGGAGCAAGGTGAGAGCAGAGAGCAAGACTCAGGAATTGTGTGAGCACCTGGCTCACTAGCAGGTGGTGCTCCTGCCAGGCGACTGCTAGTCCATACAGTGACGGTGTTCCAATCAGAAAACGGTGCTCCTTCCTCTGGGAAGACTCAGCCTCATGCCTAGCTTAGCATGAGGAACATGGGCTGAGTTCCACTTGTCTTTGTCTGACTGCTCTTGAACAGGGCACATGCTTTAGGCCAATGTGCCCTTGGAGCCTAGAAGACCTGGATGGACCTAAGGTGGGGGATGAGACCCTGAGAGTGGCGTGGGATGATCATCCATGCTCTTCCTTCCTACAGATGCCCCACGCCAGCCCATGCTTACCACCCGACTCGACCCAAATGCTGCTGGAACTGGGGCTGGACGTCGGGCTCTCCTCTTGTGCCGTGTGGATAGCGACCCTCCAGCCCAGCTTCAGCTGCTCCACGGGGACCGCTTTGTGGCCTCTTCCCTGCCATCGTGTGGGGGCTGTTCACCGAGCATCAAAGTCACTAGAGGCCCCAACTTGCTGCGTGTGGAGATTCAGAACCCGATGCTGGAGGATGAGGGCGAGTACCAGTGTGAGGCCAGCAATGCCATGGGCAATGCCTCAGCCTCAGCCACCTTGGATGCCCAGGGTGAGTCAGTCAGAAGAGGCTGTCAGGGTGTCGGTGGTCCTGAATCTGTTCCTCTGCAGGCCCCACTCCACGAAGGGCTGGATGGGTAGAAAACATTTCTGTTCAGCTGTGGGAGGAGGGAAAGCTGTCCACAGTGATGAGTGGAAGTCCCCAGAGCCTTGCTCCCTCCCTACACACTGAGGGAGGCCAAAACTGCTCAGACCTGGGGTTCTGTGAGCTCCATGGGGCCACCTTGTCTTCTTTTCCCTTTACTGACCCCCTCTTTGATCAGGTTCCCACACTCCCCAGGACCCACTCCACAGAGGCTCCCTGGTATCACACAGGGGTTTTGGCCACCTGAGGGTCACACTGCATTTTGGACTGGCCTCCCCCCTCTTACCGGGTACCTCCAACAGTCTCCTCACACATAGGGTCTGGGCAGGCTGAGAGGCTGGGTCACTGGGCCTTGACTTTGCCTCAGTGGAGTCTGTGGTTTTGCTTTCCAGCCACTGTTCTGGTCATCACACCATCGAACACGCTACGGGAGGGCACAGCTGCCAACCTGACCTGTAATGTGAGCCGTGAAACTGCTGGCAGCCCTGCCAACTTCTCCTGGTTCCGGGATGGGGCGCTGTGGACCCAGGGACCCCTGGAAACTGTAACTCTGCTGCCCGTGGCCCGGACCGATTCTGCTCTCTATGCTTGCCACATCCTCACCACACCTGAGGCCCGGCTCTCTGCCCCTGTGGCCCTGAATGTGCAGTGTGGGTGATGGGCAAGGGCAGAGTTGGGGACTAGGAAGGCTGTAGGAGTGGGTTCAGGCACAGGAGCGGGGCTGGGTTGGGATAAGGGTGAACTGTGTGTATGTGGAGTCAGGGAGTAGAACACTGTGTGGTGTTTGGGTCATGGAGAATGGTTTGGGGTAGCCTGAATTCTCCTTGTCCCTGCAGATCCTCCAGATCCTCCAAAACTGTCGGCTCTCCTGGACGTGGGTCAGGGCCATGTGGCTGTGTTCATCTGCACAGTCGACAGCCACCCCTCTGCCCAGCTGGCCCTGTTTCATGGGGAGCGACTCCTGGTCACTAGCCCAGGGCCTCAACTCCCACCCTATGGCAGGCTCCATGTCAAGTCCACAACCAACTCCCTGCAGCTGGAAGTCCGAGAACTGGGCCTTGGGGACTCTGGCAGCTACCATTGCAAAGCCACAAATGTTTTTGGATCAACCAACACCTCACTCTTCTTCCAGGTTCGAGGTGAGTGCCAGTCCTCTGAAGGTGTGACAGCCCCTAGTGGCATGAGAGTCACTGGCCAAGCTTTGAGTTGAGTGGTATGGATTTTGTGCAGAAATATGTGTACTTTTCAACCCTGGCCACAGGACAGTGTCTCTAGTTAGGGGTTTTCACCCATAATAACTGCAGCAGCCACTAGGAGGCAGTGGCAATTTCACCAGGTGGCTTGATTAATTTCTGCTAGATAACTTCTTTTTGTAATAATATAATTTTGTTATATAATGCAATTTACAAACAAACCCACATATATCTAGATATACATGTGCACACGTGTGTATATGTATAGATATAGATATATATAATTTCCTTCTTTAAAAATCTTCCCTAAGCAAATCAGCTCGAAACAATGAAAGACAATACTTACAAAGCCAAAATCCAAGAGAAATGCACACTTGCTGTCCTACGATGACAAACAGCTTCAAATGCAGCTCTTGTGTGGACAGACATATAATTCCAGACTGGGATGGTACAGCAGAGAGCCCTCACCTACTCTTGGTTTCTTCCTGCAGGAGCCTGGGTTCAGGTATCACCATCGCCTGAACTCCAGGAGGGCCAGGAGGTAGTTCTGAGATGCCAGGCACCCTCAGGGGTCCCAGATGGAACCTCATACCGCTGGTATCGGAATGGTCAACTCCTTCAAGAGCCTACCTCAGCTACACTCCACATTGCAGCCATTGCTTCAAGCCAAGCTGGAGCCTACCACTGCCAAGCTCAGGCCCCAGGCTCAGCCATCACGAGTCTGGCCACCCCCGTCAACCTCCATGTGTCCTGTAAGAACTTTCATCCTGTCCACATAGGGGTGGGGATGCCCCTGGTCTGAGGCTCTGCCTCAATGAGGCAGCCTTGAATGAGGGACCACCTGGCTGAGCCCTGACTGCTCCCTCCCCTGTGTAGATGCGCCCCGCCAGGCCACGCTCATTACCCTAATGGACACAGGCCCTGAGCGACTGGGCCTTCTTGTGTGCCGTGTGGATAGTGACCCTCCAGCCCAGCTGCAGCTGCTCCACGGGGACCACCTCGTGGCCTCTACCGCAAAGGGGTTGGCAGAGCCTGCAGGTAGTTCTTCCCAGATGCAGCTGACGGTGGCCCCCAATGTCTTGCGCCTGGAGATCCATGGTGCGATGCTGGAGGATGAGGGCACCTACACCTGTGAGGCCACCAATGCCCTGGGCCGGGCTATGGCTACAACCAACTTTGATGCCCAGGGTCAGTATGCGGGTGAGAGTGTGTGTGAGGGTGACTCTTTCAAGAGAGGAGAGGAGGTGGGAGATGGTGCCAGAGACTGGGGTACAGGCAGGAGGGCAGAACATAAAGACAGTCTCCATTCCTCACTCCATACCTCCTCAAGGCAGCAGTTGTTATATGAGACTTATATGTTATGTGAGACTAATGTCTCATGGAAGAACCCTTTTTTTTTTACCTATTATTGTGACTTGAGTGAAGATTTACAGAGCAGATCATCAGTTTTATAATCAATGATTCATTCATTTTGCTTCATTACAATGACTGCAATCCCCTCCATGTGCCATCAGTTACCAGCATTTACTTCTATTCAGTTCTATTCACTCCTTGTGTCTCCTGCTGCCTTTGCTTCCCTCTGCTAACTTTCTTCTTGTTGTATATTGCCCACCCTGTCACTCATGTTAACATGTGTCTGCCCTCTAGTCCATGAATAATTTCTCTCCTCCTCCCAACCCAGTAACCATCATAGAATGTTTCTTCTATCAAGAAAACCTTTTCCTAACTTTTCACCACAGTGGTCTCATACAATATTTTTACTATTGTGATTGTCTAGTTTCACTCAGCATAATGTTCTCCAGGTTCATGGAAGAGCCTTTTAAAAAAACAAAACAGAATTCTACACATCTACCCAGTCGGTGGTGTGGCGCTGTGGGTTAATGAGCTGGACTCCAAAGCTGGTTTGAACTGCAAGGTTGGCAGTTCAAGCTCACTAGTCCCTCCTCAGAAACCATATACAGGGTCAGTATGGGACAGAACTGACTCAACAGCACTTAACAACAACAATAACCCAGTCCACAAAATTTGTCAGAGAAGGGGTTCTCCAGGGGAAAGAGGGCAGGGTGGTCTGTGTATAACCTCAACCAGGCAGAGGACCCTCCACCAGGACCAAGCACTCCAGGCTTCTAGAGCTCCTCTAGATAGTTCCTGAGAGATGATGATGACCTCGGAGCCCCATTTGTAGTTAGTCCCCTAAGGGCCACAGAGGCTGACTCAGCAGTAGGAGCTGCTCTTACTTATGTGGACAGGTGGCTGTTTTGCACGGTCCAGGGTCTTGATGGGTGTCCCCATGCCCTCCCTCTATCTCCAGCTGTGACTGTGCAGGTGTGGCCCAAGGCCACGGTGTATGAGGGGCAGCTGGTGAACCTGACCTGCCTGGTGTGGACCCACCTAACTCCGCTCAACTACACGTGGTACCAGGATGGACAACAGCGACCGGGTGCCCGTTCCATCCTCCTGCCCAATGTCACTGTCACGGATGCTGCCTCCTACCGCTGTGGCGTGGAGACCCCTGGCCAAGCACCCTGCTTTTCCAGACCTGTCTCCCTGGACATCCTCTGTGAGTTTGTTGAATGCAGTGTGGGATAACGGGGAATGGCTTGGTATCCTGACAGGCTGTCCTCAACAGCACACAGGAATCAGGTATGGCCAGAGCCCTACAGCTGCCCAGTCAAGAGAGCACTGGACAAGGAGCAGGAGAGTTGGTGGCCAATAGGGATATATTCTTTCTGGGCAAAGGAGCAGTGCCCCAGACTGGACAACTGGGGGACCTTGAGATGGTAGCCGGGGCCCTGCTGAGTTTGAATGCCCCCTTCTCTTCCTCTTATGCCCCTACAGATGCACCCCGTGCCCTGCATCTGACCTACCTCCTGGAGAGCCGGGGTGGGCGGTTAGTCCTGCTCCTGTGCACCGTGGACAGTCGTCCCCCTGCTCAGCTGGCCCTTAGCCATGCTGGCAACCTCCTAGCGGTCTCCACCAAAGATTCTCTCCCCAACACCTTGCGCCTGGAACTGTGGGAGCCCCGGCCCAGTGATGAGGGTCTTTACAGCTGCTACGCCCATAGTCCTCTGGGCCAGGCCAACATGACCCTGGAGCTGCATCTGGAGGGTGAGGCTGGATCCAGGGCAAGTCTGCCAGGTGGGGACCAGCTGGGCTTGACTGACTCTGGTCTCCTTGGTAACAGGAGTGCAGGTGACCTTGGCTCCATCAGCTGCTGTGCCTGAGGGGACCCCTGTGATGGTGACCTGTGAAGACCCTGCTGCCCAACCACCCACCCTCTATGCCTGGTATCACAATGGCCATTGGCTACAGGAAGGGTCAGCTGCTTCCCTCTCATTTCCGGTGACTACACGGACTCACGCAGGCGCCTACTCCTGTCAGGCCCAGGATGCTCAGGGCACACGCAGTTCCCGGCCTGCTGCCCTACAAGTCCTCTGTGAGCTGGGGTGTCCTGGGTAGAGGGGGGAGCACAGGAGCGCAGTGGACATGGGAATAGGCACCCAGGGGGTAACAGGACATAGGTGATGAGGAAAGGCCCGGGCCTTGGGTGGAATGGGGAAGGCTGCTCAGATGAACCTGCTCACAGCATTCCTGAGAAGATGTCACTTCTAGGAGGCTGCAGGCATGTGGGCTGTGTACAGTCCAAAGGTGTCAAGGAAGGCCCTCAACTGTACCCTCCCCTCCCCCAGATGCCCCCCACGATGCCGTCCTATCCTTCTTCCGGGACTCACGGACCAGACCTGCAACCATAGTGCAGTGCACTGTGGACAGCGAGCCGCCAGCCGAGCTGACCCTGTCCTTTGATGGTCAGGTTCTGGCCACCAGCCAGGGGGCCCATGGCTCGGCATTGGGGACAGGTTCTGTCCAGGTGGCCCGCAATTCCCTCCGGTTTCAGGTGCACAAAGTGTCGGCAGGGGACAAGGATACCTATGTCTGTACAGCCCGAAACTCTCTGGGCTCAGTCAGCACCAGTGGGCAGCTACAGGCCGAAGGTGAGTGGGTGGGAGCAGGGCCCAGGCACATGACCTCAACGTGTGACCCCACATGGGCTCACATGCTGTGGGGTTGAAGTTCACAGGAGGGCTGGGGCTCCCACCAAGGAGATAAGATAGAGCCCTGCCTCCAGATGCCTAATCTGAGGAAGGAGGCCCAGCCCCTGCTCCAGGGACTGCCTAGGCGACAGGAGAAAACACAGCTTCGCCTGTAAAGCAGTACATGCAGCTGTGACAGAGCCCTACCCTGGGGAAGCCTGGGGGTGGGGGGAAGTGGAAAGAGACAGCCCACCCTCAGGGAGCCCTGTCTGAGGAAGAAGGCATAGCCCCTCATCCATCAGAAAGCCTGGCATGATGAAGAGGGCACAGCTTTGCCTTGGGGCCTCCAGTTCAAGGGTGAGAGCCAGCCCTGTTCTCAGGGGAGATATAGTCCCACCTTGGAAGACCAAGGTCCTAGTCCAATTCAGACCTTTCCACAAGGCCTCTCTCAAACCCAGATTGACCCAGAGGTGTGCAGACCCCAGCTACCTTCCATCTCCTCTGCAGGTGTGCATGTGGTGGCAGAGCCAGGCCTGGATTTACCTGAGGGCACTGCGATGAACCTCAGCTGCTGCCTCCCAGATGGCCACGGGCCCTTGGGCAACACGACCTTCACTTGGTACTGGAATGGCCGGCACCTACATACCATGCCTGTGCCCACACTCTCCTTCCCCTTTGTGGCTCGTGCCCAGGCTGGGATGTACCAGTGTAAGGCCGAGCTACCTTCTGGAGCTGCCACTTCCACTCCAGTCATGCTCCATGTGCTCTGTGAGTGTGAACCTCTGCCTCAGTCTCCCCACCCCGTATATACTCACCTCAGATCCTCCTCCTCAGTCTGCAAAGAACAGGGAACTTTACAGCTACACAGGCCTAGGCTAGATCCTGGCTCTTCCACTGACTGGTGTGTGATCTTGTGCACTCGTGCCTCAGTTTCCTCATCTGTAAAAATGGGGAATATATCAGTTTGATCATCTTGTGAGGCATATAGAAGAAAAAGCACTCAGAATGCCTGGAACACAATAGGCCCTACCCAGTCTTCATCCTCTACTCCCTTCTTGACCAGGGTCCCATACCATTTTGGTCAGCTCTTGCTATATAACAAACCACCTCAAAACCCAGTGCTTAAAGCAACAACCACTTTATTTGCTCATATTCTGTGGGTGAGGAATCAGGGTGGGCTTCTCTGAGCAGTTCTGCTGGTCTCACCTCATATGAATGCAGTTAGGTCGTCTAAGGTGGCCTCACCCTAATTGCTGCTGGTTGGGGCTGCCTGTTGGTTTGGTGCTCCAGCAGGCAAGCCTGGGCTTACCATATGGTTGTGTTCCAAGAAGGGGACTCTTGGGGTCTAATCCCTAAGTCACTCAACACTTCTTCTATTGATCAAAGCAAGTCACAGCCTCAAGTGGTGGGGAAATCAGCTTCTCCCCTTAATGGGAATTGCAGCTAAGCCACTTAGCATGCAGGGAGGGGAGACAGTTGTGATTTTTATTGCAGTCACTACTCTCCCTTCCCTCCCACAGACCCTCCTGAGACACCTACCTTGACAATCTTTATAGAGCCCGAGAGTGGCCTCTGGGGCATCCTGGACTGCCGAGTGGACAGTGAGCCACGTGCTAGCCTGACTCTCCACCTCGGCAGTCGGTTGGTGGCATCTAGTCAGGCCTGGGGCATGCCTGCAGAGTCACACATCCATGTCTCAGCCTCCACCAATGCCCTGAGGGTGGACATCCAGGAGCTGAAGGCCAGCGACCAGGGGCAATATGTGTGCTCTGCCTCCAACGCCCTGGGCTCTGCCTCGGCCTCTACCTACTTCGGGACTAGAGGTGAGGTGGTGGCCACTGTGCATAAAGGCCTAGCTTGTATGTTCAAAGGCTTGCCTCTGCGTCTTTCCCAAACCCCTTCTGCTGCTATATAACTTATCTGTCTAGATAGACGGCTTACTTGGAGATCCCCTGTGCAGGGGGCTTTATCAATGATGTGAGAGTTAGAATAGAAGGTTTCATGGCATGGGAGGCATAGGAGAGGGCACTGGAGGCCTAGATTCATGGTTGACCCTTAACTCCACCCTGCATTCCAGCCCTGCACCGCCTCCATCTGTTCCAGCAGCTCCTTTGGGTCCTGGGAGCACTGGCAGGCATCCTGTTCCTGTTGTTGGGCCTTGGGGCCTTGTACGCCTGGAGGTGGGTGTGGAGCTGGGGAGATGGATGGTTCCTGCCTTTCCCCCCAACATGCACCCCAGGTCCTTTAGAAGATCCTCCCTCCTTCCAAATTCATAGGCTCCATAACTTCCCCTCCAAATTTGGTAATACCATCTAGAATTGTCCCTAAATCCATCTTGCTGTAGTTTTCCTCTTCCCTTGATCAAGTCTGTACTGAAAAAGGGCTGGGGAGGAAGAAAGATAAGGTACCCCCCCCCTTCCTGTAGCTCTGGGCACAGCAAGCAGTCTGGGTCAGGCCTGTTGGGAAAGAAGGAGTGGGGAGGGAGGCCGGCAAGGAAGGGGAGAGGCTCACTGAGTCCACTCTTACCCTCCGCAGAAAGAGGCTCTTTCACAAGCAGAGCTTGGGTCAGAATTTGGTGGAGATGGCTTTCCAGAAGGAGACTGCACAGGTATACATTCAACAGACATATGCACACACAGGCAAATACCTGGGTAGCTCACAGCGGTGATGGTGGGATGGTGGCTGGGGTTGGGGGAGGCTAGGAAGAGAGTGTAGGAGCCAGGTCCCCTGAAGAGCCATAATCTGATTCTGGGGGATGGGGGGGGGGCGGATAGTAGATGAGCGTTTGCTGGGTGGCTGAATGGCTGTCCTGGGTCGGCTTCCTGGACTTAGCTGCAGCACCTACACTTCCAAGACACATTTTCTGATTCCTCTGGTAGCGTAGTGGTTACGAATCGAGCTGCGAACCTTAAGGTCAGCGGTATGAAACTACCAGCTGCTCCGCGGGAGAAAGATGAGGCTTTCTACTCCCGTAAAGATTTACACCCTCGGAAACCTTATACAGGGTCGCTATGGGTCGGAAACGACTCGATGGCACATAACAACAACCACCTATTTTTAAAATTTCTTTCCCCACTTCTGATCCTGCTAATCACCTGGGCTGGGGGACATGCCCCTTTCTGGAGATAGTCCATTGGGTCTAGCTATCCCCACTTTCACCCATCCCCCTGGGCTGTGCCCTAAAGTTGGCAGCACTGGAGGGCTGCCCTTGTCCAGAATGAAGGGTCAGGTGAGGACTGCACCCAGGGTCCTCCTGTGACTGGGGTTTTCTCTGTGGAAAGCTCATTGATCCTGACTCGACCACATTTGAGATGAACTGTGCTCCGATCCTAAACTGACCAGTGGTGCTGACGGCCTCAGGAGAAGGACATTGGAACCTGTGGTGACATGGGTGCTGTGAACCAGGCTGTGTTCTGCTGCACCTGTGTCAGTGGAAACAGCTCTAGGACATCTGATTCCCTATGATTTGGCTCCAAGCCTCTTGCCCTCAAGAAATGATGGGTGATGAGAGGTGGGATGAACCCCAATCTATCCAGGAAGGTGTTCCCTGGATATGACCCTGGGAACTCAGAATAGAAATGAATTAATTGTGTTGTCCATGTCTCTCTCTTACTCTTTTCTCTTCATTCCATTTCTCCTCCAAGCTCAGCAGGACTTTTTGCACTCTCTGCATCCTCAGAGGTTGACCGATGGACTCTGTACTAGAATATGTTAGTCTGCTCTCATAAGAGCTCCAGTACAGTGACTTCAACATGAAATCATTTTATTTTTCTCTTCCATACTAGTTTGGGTGTGTTATTGTGGTTCAAAGTGTCAGGGCTCAGGATCCTTCTATGTTATATTTTCCTCTATCCCTAAAGTGTTGCTTTTGATTATGGAGTTTCATCATGACCCTACAGTGTCCATTTTCCCACCAGCAAGATGAAAGAAGAGTGGAAGTAAAATATACACCTGCCCTTTGTAGGCACAACCCAGAAGCCGCATATCAGTTCTACTTACTTCCTATTGGCTGGATATGAGTCACATGGCCATTCCAAGCTTCAAGGGAAGGCGGGAAATACAGTCTTTAGTCTTAGTTCAGAATTGTGGTTATTGTTGTTGTTGTTAAGTGCCATCAAGTCGATTCCGACCCATAGTGACCCTGTATAGGGTTTCCGAGGAGCAGCTGGTGAGCTTGAACTGCCAACCTTGCAGTTCAAACGGCTTTACAGTCTGGTGTATTAACCCACAACGCCACGGAAAATCTATTTCTAAAGGAATCTCAATTTGTAGGATTGCCTTTGGGATTGACATTGTGCCCATGTGCTACCCACTACCCTACTCCACCTCAGCCATTTTGGTCCTTCATGAGCTTCTGTACAAGGTAGTCCTGTTCATACAATAAGACAGAGTGAGTGAGCAAGGAGTGCTGGTGGCTCAGTGCTTAAGTACTCAGCTGATAACTGAAAGGTTGGTGATTCCAACCTACCAGCTGCTCCGAAGGAGAAAGAAGTGTCCATCTATTTCTCAGCCTAAGATCACAGCCTAAGAAACCCACTGGGATTGCTGAGTTTGCATCCACTTTACAGCAATGAATTTGGGAAGGAGAGGCCATACCAGGCAGGAGGTTGCCTGCTTAGGAGACCTGGGTTCAGCTCCCAGCCAGTGCCCCTCATGAACACTACAGTGGGGGCTTGCGTGCTGCTCTGATGCTGGACAGCATTCAGCAAGCTTCCAGGCTAGGAAGAAAACCTGGTAATCTACTAAAAACCAGTCAATGAAAACCCTATGGCCCACAAACGATCCACAATAATCCACGAGGCATCGGGATGGCACAGGTCTGCACAGTGTTTCATTTCATTATGCATGGCATTGCCATGCATTTGGGGCTGACTTGAGAACACCTAACAACATTCCCACAGGCTAGGCCCTGCCTTATAGGCTATTTCAACCCTGTGTCTCTCATCAAGCAGTCTTGTTTCTGGTCCAGGAAAATTTCTCTCCATGACCAAGTGAGCTCCTGAACTTTTCCTAGAGACTGGAGGGCCAGGGGCTGTTAAAGGGAATAAGGACTAGCAAGAAAGAATAGTGCTTCCAAGAAATGAGGGATACAGAAGAGCCAGTCCTCAGGTGGGCTAGTGAATGCCTATCATAGACTGGGGGTAATGGTGGGAGCAACAATGAGCTGCTGCTCTGGGATTTGGGTTGAGAAACCTAGAGAACAGTAGGCAGTTGGTATAAGAGCTAATAGACTGGGAAGAGGTTGGAGACCAGATGAACTTCAAGTAGTCAAGCTTGGGCCCTTCCTTGTTCCAGGCTCTATTTCTTTTCATGTCTGATGTCTGAATTCTTTCTGGAAGCCTCCCCAGCATGTCCTTCCAATAAAGTTCCATCCTGTCACAAACCTTGAGTGAGCCTCTTTCTTGTCACCCAAACTATTGCTCTGGAACATAGAGGATGGAAATGTTGGTAAGGTGTCTTCAGGAGGTAGCCAGCACTAAAAATTATATGACATTTTCCACAAACCGTCTTTCCCTCAGTGAATGTGTGTTCCTTCCTCCTCCTCGAGGCTCTGAATGTGCCACCCTATTGCCCACAGTGACTGGCACAGTGCTTAGCATCCTGTGGGTGAACAATTAGTAAGCACTTGTTTATCTACATTGCAGTTGAGTGGGAGGGTAGAAAGTGCTAGCTAAATTCAGAAATGATATAAGAAGAGAGCAAGCCAAAAGCAGCTCCATGTTTGGAGGTATCTCAGGAAGAGAAGGTGAGTGGAGGCCCACAGGTGGCTGCTTGGGGTGGCTACTGGGGAAATCTGGGGACATTTGACTAAGGAGTCTTCACTTGATTCTGTATATCTCCAAGGGGACATAATGTCCACCTTCGATTCCAGTGTTCTCAGAGGGATTAATTGTATCTACCCCAGTGGTCCAAGCCACTCCAAAAGTTTTAAATAAACTTTAAAAAACATTTTATTGTGGTAAACTATGGTGTGGCACTGTGCGTCAATGTGCTGGACTACAAGGTCGGTTTGAACTTCAAGGTCAGCTGTTCAAGCTCATCAGCTACTCCCTGGAAACCCTACACAAGGTCGCTATGAGTCAGAACAACAACATATATAACAAAAATTTGCTGTTTCATCCATTTTTACATGTCCAATTCAGTGGCATTATGTTCACTATGTTGAACAGCCATCACCGCTATCTGTTCCCAAATTCTTTCATCACTCAGACAGAAACAAGTGTTCCTTAAAACATAATCCTCTTGGTCTTTTGGTGGGTAGTTGGCCCTATTGATCCTGAACTTCCCAACCCCCACTCAGAGTTAATTTCCCACCCTACCTCTACCCCACAACCCTCATCCCTATTACAATCCCAGATCCCAAGCCTGATCTACAAAAACCGGTCAATCACATGCAAAGGAGGGTGGTGGAATTGGACAGGATAGAAGGGTAGGGGCAGGGCCAGCCATGATGGTGGCCAGGGGAGGACAAAGCTAGGCGGGTGGGTGGTTTGGGGAGGGTAGAGTGACCCACACCTCTATCCAGGACAGGTTCTAGCCCTGGTGCTGGTGGTTGCTTTGTGGGGTGGTATGCAGCTGCCGCTGAGGCAGGCCTCCGCTGGCCTACAGAAAGTTCATGAACATACCTGAGTACTTGATATCTTTTGTCCTCAACCAGTGGGGCTCCCTTCTTTAGTACCTCACAGACTAACCCTATTTGTATCCATCTGTAACTCTTTGGCCATCATCTTCATGCTGATTGTTGGTAAAGGTAGATACTTGGAGACGATATGGTGGAAAACTGGCAGTTGCAGGCGTGATGCTCACCACAGCAGGAATTGCATTCAGCTTCATTAACTCAGTGAGCAAGACCCAGGGGCAACCTTCTATCCTTTGTGTGGGTAGAATCCACTCTCCAGCTCTGCTGCCTCCAGGAAGTCCCTGCCCTATGAGATGCAGACGTGAGCAGAAATACAGTACTTCCCTTCTCTGAACCTCAGCTTCCTCATCTTTCATCACTGCCTCATGAATCACAGTGTGAGAATAGAACAAAAACTCTGTAATTTACAGCTGCTGTTCAGCTGCTAGGCTTGATCACAAGACACTTCATACTCACCCTCAGCAGTTTCCTTCCTGCTGCCATCTCAGGCCAGCACTCAGCCCCTATTACTACAAGGAGGCTTCAAAAAGTTTGTGGAAAAATGAAAAGGTAATGGAATTTCCCCACAAGTTTTTTAAAGCCCCCTTGTTTGGCTTGATCTGGGCCATTGTAGCAGCAGGATGGGTGAACTGCAGTGCCCCCACAGTCTGGAGAGAGCACTGCAGTTTTGAATTTAAAACGGAAAGTGGAGGTCCCAGGGCCCAGACTAAGAGAGTCAGGTGAATAGATGGGATGGAACTGAGGGAAGGAGTGGTAGGTAGGTGAGATATTGGTTAGCTTTGCCTTTCCTACTAACAAGGTGGGCAGGATTCCTCAATTACCAGCTCCTCTTAAACAGTAAGATAACTGTGAACCTCAGCCCTTCCCAACTCCAGCTTAGCTCTGTGCCTAGATAGCGTTCAATGGATCCGTAGTAAACAGGTAAAAACAGAACTTTCAGTTGACGTGCAATATAATACAGAAAAATAAACACTGTTAATTGTACAGCTCAATGGCTTTTCAAAAAGTGAACACACCCATGTAACCAGCACTTAAATTGTGAAGCAGATCACTACCAGTACTCTAGAGATCCCCCCTCACATCCTATCCTAGCTGCAACCTCCAGAGAGAAACTACTAGTTAACTTATATATCATAGATCTGGTTTGCCTAGTTTTGAACTTTGTATAAATGGAATCATACTTTGGAAAACTGTTGAGTACTATCTATTAAAGTTAAAACATGCCTGCCCTTTAACGTTCAAATTCTACCTCTGGGCATTTACCTAGGAGGAATGAGGGTTTATATTCATCATAAGACTTGTACTCAAATGTTCACAGCATTGCTATTTATAATAACCCCAAACTGGAATCGGCAAATATACTTCAACAATACAGTACACATCCACTCTGCTACGTCCATCTAATGGAATAGCAAACAGCAATGAGAATCAGCTACAACTGCAGCAACAATATGGCGATGTTCCCTGTAAGAATGTGTGGGGGCAGTGTCTGACCTCCTCTAACTTCTCTGGAGAAGAAACAATCATCATCAGCATCAGCCAGCCCAAGGTTGATTCCCATAATGCAGAGGTCGGACATGTCTCCATCCTCTAGCCATTTTTATTTATTTATTTTATCAATTCTGACACCACACCACTCTCTTCTTCTGTGTTAGGTTCAAGAAGTCATTGCAATGGCCACAAAGAATTCACAGACAA